CATAGATCCGAAACCATGGACCCTAAACCCTGGATCGTGAGAGCGTAAACCCTGGAGGCCCCCTTAATGACATAGGGAAGGGCCCGAAAAAACGAGCACCACAGTTCCTACTGGAACGCTCCTCCGCAGCCCAGGATGTCGAACCTCTGGGCTCCCGGGCCGGTACCTACGGAGGCGATCTCCACACGCATGGCCCTGCGCCGGCTCCTCGCAGGCCTCCAAAGCTGAGAGTGGCTGTAGAGGAGTTCGGAGAACACTGAGGGGGAGATCGTCGAATTTGCAATAGCACCAGCAGCAACATCCTTAAAGCCTTATGGCTCAAGCCGATGGTGCCCGAAGCCATAGGCCGCAGTGGTAAAGTCTCCATTTACTGCGCATCCTCGCGGTGAAGATGGGCAATTCTTGCCGCCCTGTTGCTGCTGCGCCGTCACCAGTCACCGTGCATATTTATGACGTCACGGGCACTGCACCGATGAAGGTTGTCAATGGCGTCTTGCGCCCTTTCGGCACTGGTGCCTTCCACGCTGCCGTTGAAGTTCATGGAAGGGAGTGGAGCTACGGGCAGACCTCGAGGGGTCATGGAATATTTGAAAACCAGCCGGCGGCGTGCAAACAGCACTCGTACCGAGAGTCGATTCACATGGGCTACACGGACTTCGCCCCTTCTGAAGTGCAAATGCTCATTACCGAAATGGCCAAGAGCTGGCCTGGTCGCGAATACAATGTGATCAGCAAGAATTGCTGTCACTTCAGCGATGAGCTGTGCCAACTTCTTGGAGTTGGACAGCTTCCCTCCTGGGTTACCAACTTGGCCACTGCTGCATCCAAAGTTGGTCCAGGACTCCACGAACTGAGAGAACGACTCCTCAAGCCTTTCTGCATCAACCGTGAAAAACCGAACAAGAGTGGTGGAGTCTATATGACTGGCTTGGCTATCGCACACTACGACTCCTAAGCAGAGTGAGTGAATGTAGTGGTAGCTCAATGCCGGGACTGTCAGTGGATGGTGCGCGACCGCTGCGCGCCACGGCCACACAATCATGCATGTCAGGCCAGCAGCGCCTTAATTATGTCTGCTTTGTCACTGTTGGGTAACATTACATTTTTATGGGTACATAAACCCAATAAGGAATAAAAATGCACAAATTTAATCCTATCCCAACAATGAACTAGTCTGATATCGCAGCGAATTCACGGCACACAAGTGGCTGCTCTGTAAAGGGCAGGAATGTCGTCTCGCGATTCTTCTTGCGTATTCTTTTGCTAACGAAAAGCATGTACCTGGTCAGCCGAAGTTCGGGAGTCTGCACTACCAGATCCTTCATCTTCGATAGGGACCTGAAGAATTCGCAAAAGCACGCCCGCACAAGTACCCTCGGGTTCCTTGTATACGTACAGCATGCATATATATATATATATATATATATGTATGTATGTATGTATGTATGTATGTATGTATGTATGTATATATATATATATGTACATATACATACACACACAGAGAGACCCGAAACCCGAAACGGTACCGCAGTTTATCTCTTCGCCGGAGGTCGTGGTTGGCACAACGAGACGAGCGCTCCCACTTGCTGCTTTCTTGCAAATGAAACACTCGGTGCCATCTCACGTAGGATTACGGACGTGGGCACATCTTTTTATCAGGGGTTCCAGTTGTACATGTATGTATGTATATATACAGATGTTGTTAGAGGTGTTTGTTTATATCTCCTAAATACTGAGGTTTGGATCAGAGTCCGCTCGATATCACTGCTGGGGATAAGCGCGGCACGGGCTGTTGTGTCATCATTTTGCTGATATAAGCTGGCTTATGACCGTGGTGTTGTACTTGCAGTCAGATGTTCGTAGCAGAAGTTGCAGAAGGCTTGGAGGCAGTGAAGCATAAGTCATAAGTGACCTCCGTCAGCTAGCAATTGCTTGCCATGTTGCCCAGCAGTGCCCCAAAGCAGTGCAGCACGTCGGAAGCTTGTTGTGCAAGTAACTGAGGCACTTCGTTGACGCCGAGTATGCGAGGTGTCACAAAGAGACACCACAAAGGAGGCAGCATGCGGTCACTTCTGCCAGGTTGAGGATGTCACATCGCGAGCGCTACGATAGGATTTCAGGTTTAGCATTTCAGTGTTGAGGCTCATCGAGGCAGCAAGGTTCAGTTTGTTTCGGGCAAGTCCGCATTAGTTGCTTCGGCTGATAGCCGTGCCTGTTGGCTTTGCCTATCTCCCTCAAACCTCGCTAAATTGGTTACGACCGATAGTATTTTTAGTATTTTTTGGAGTTTCATAGTATATACATGCCCTCACCATATTGGACCCAAGAACAGTCAGTTCGTCATGTTGAGCCATGCTTCATCCAACACGCACACACCCACACGCACACGTAAGCACACTTACAGCATGTCTAACGCACCAGCCGGTGCTTGCTGCAGGCTTCCTGGCTGTGGCCAGCCGTGCGCCTTGCTCTTATCCTAATTTTACCCCATATTGAGACAGAACCCTCTCTTACTCATGCCCCTCTAAACCCTAAACCCTAAACCCCTGGGGCGATATAGCCCTTATACAACCTGAAGCCTGGCGGATTTACCCGGGTCGGTGTGGGCCTTCAGGCCTCCTGTTCGATCCTGGGCCTGGATAGCCTCATTGATCTGTAACGTAGGAGCCTTAGTAACTATACCAATATTATAGTAGAATTTATATCCCCAAACCCTATTCTAAAATTCAGGCCCCTAAAGTACATAGCCTACCTACATAGGCCTCCCATGGCAGAGCTCCAGGGGCAAGACTCGAAACTTTGGATTCAAGACGATGCCTTACATCTACGCCAACCCCACAGGGTTTCAGCACATTTAAGTGTTTCATTTCCCTTGATGTATGTAAGAGTGTGTATGAGCATCTGTTTGTGTGCATAATGTATGAGCACGTATGCAACGTCTGTATATCACGGAACCTTTTCTTCACATGTGCATCTCACTGGCTCGCTCGCTCCCTCGCTCACTAACTCTCTCTCCCTCTCTCTCCCTCTCTCTCTCTCTCTCTCTCTCTCTCTCTCTCTCTCTCTCTCTCTCTCTCTCTCTCTCTCTCTCTCTTTCTCCTTCTCGCTATGTATATATTCTTTATTTGTATATACATATATACATATGCTTAATGCACATACACAGACACACGCACACATGAGTGTCGCCCAGGTCCTGGAACTGCGCGGAATGGCACCAGCGACGGAAGCCGAGGAGCCAAGTTGCAGCAGCACTTCTTCATTGTAACTTCAAGGGCCTGAACGGCCCAGAGCCTCCCAAAACCCCTTAATTAAGGAATATACCGTAAATTATAGTAGGATCCCTAATATGATTTAAGGTATATTCCTTAATTACGGGGTTTGGATCCCTAATATGATTTAAGGTATATTCCTTAATTACGGGGTTTTGGAGTCTCAGGGGGCCTTAATGTTAATATAGGCGCGTCAATAACTAGAATTGGGTTGTGCTGTGTACTATACTATATTTCTAGTAAGAAATCCCCCAAACTATAGGGCCCCCTATCACAATCCTTACAAAGAGTCTCCAACAGCAAAGGGCAGATTTATGAGTAGATAGATCGCAGGGTACGGACACTCACATGTGCAGACGCGTCCCGAAGTACACCAGCAGATGTGCACGCGTACTCCCAATGGTTTGTCAGAACATGGAGAGCTTGCATTCAGTAGGTGGTACATTTGTTCTCTGAAGACTGTTGTTCTTCTTTTTCCTGTGCTTGTTGATGCCCGTGTCTGAAGTTGCCTTGCACGGGAATGTAAGTCAGGTACGAACGCACCAAGGCGCATGCCGGTAGGCAGTGCGCGTCGACTGTCATGCCCATGCTTTTGCCTGTTCGTCTACTTACAGACACTCGCGAGCGATGGCAAGTAGGTTTGAACCGTGGAAGAAATGCACCAGAAACGGCTTCACCATGATCCCAAAGGGTCCGAGTAATTGTATAGATATACTCTATAGGGTACCAAGGATCTACTATAATGGCACTTTAGTGTATTAAGTACCCACTATAATGGTACTTTAGGATATTAAGTATACCTACTATAACGGTACTTTACTTTAAGGTATCAAGTACCTCGTATAATGTTACCCGAGACCCTCTGGGGATGCAGGTGGCAGATGCTCAGCGGATTGGCCGAATCTGGGCGCCGCTGTACCGGAGGCAGCTGGGCGCAAAGGGCCGAGCAGCTTTCATGTAGCCAGAGGCCCCATAGTAGTTCCTTAAGTTTTTGGGGTTCATATATAGAATCCTATAAGGTAATCCCAAACAGGAACTACTATGAGGCCTCTGGGTAGCCTTTCCTCATAGTGGTGGGGTAATAAGGATTTCTTTTAGCTCGACGACCGTGAGCATACAGTGCTTGAAGAGATGCAGCACTCCGCAAAACGAAGATGTACGAAGCGCTTCATCACCACCGCTCCGTCCGACCCAACATTAAGATTTTGCAGTTTTCCCATCTCAGAAGCGGGGTGAACCCGAAGCGGTCGGCGCGGGATGACCCTTCAAGCCTTTGGCCAATGATCGGAGCCACAGATTGGGATAGAAAAACAGAGATAGGAGTGCCCTACTAGGGTCCCCTATTGTCGGAAACTCCCACAGAAGCAGTGACAGATGGCGGAAGAAAAAAGGAGCAAAGGCAACCACGAGTCTAGGCTCTCGCGTCCCCAAATCTGAACCCCCCTGCGGGCGTTTGTGAGACATGGCCTTCAAGCTACCATATGAGATGCCGCTAATTACACAGTTCCACCGTGTTGATATCGATTAAGGCTCGAACTTGTCACGCCCCTCGTGGGCAATGCGGCGGAGTTTGCTGTGAATGCAGACCGTGCTGCTGCATTGGAGGTGCTCTGTGAATCTGCATGAACATGTTTGAGAATTCGGGGCTTTGGGCCAACACAGTGCAGATATTCAGTGTGTGAGAACAGGGCGAACCGGGCAACCCTCTGAATTGGCGCGACGCGGTCCATACTGCCGCAGTGTACATCGATATAATGTAGGAATTTAGAAGTCCGACTGCTGCAGAGCTACGGAAGTTCGGTGTAAATGGCTAAATGGCACATTACTGCACCTGCTACCACTTAAGCCTGTCTTAGCACTACGTTTGGTGTTCCACCTCTCGATTTGTAGTTGGTTTCTTTGTATGCAATATCGAGCTGCTGTGTTAGGGTTGGTCGATAGTGAACAAGTCCAATAGTGGCTGTTCCCTAAGCCTTTGCAGGCGCGCACACACATGTGGCACATATGTGAAGAGACATTGACATGCATACATGCATGCCCACACCGACACATGCATGCATCATACATACGTGCACGCATGTATGTGCATCTATGAAAACCTGCACTGCAGCAGCAAGACCGACCTTACTTGCAGAAACACCCACCTCAATGTGCAAGAACTCGTGACGGCACGATGTCGACAGAGAGTGCATGTCATAGATAGGTGCATCGAACGAACCGGTCTTGCCGAACCCTCAAAGTCACTTGCACGTTTTATCCTGGCTGCCGCATCGGAGGAAGCAGGTCTCCAATCCGAGTTGGGGCTGATGTTCTCCCAGGCAGCACTTGGCTGTGGCTGGTTTTGTCGGTGACACTACTTGTGTTGTTGTTCTGTGTTCTAAAGTTGTTGTTTAGGGTCTGTGTTGCCCTTTTTGTGTTTCTCGTGAGTGTCGCTATCTGGAATTCGGGTTCGGGTTCAATTGACCCGGGCCGGTGTCACATTGCAATCGTCGTCCTCATCCTCAGAGTGCTGCTCGTCCCAATTAAATCCCTCTCGTCTCTGTCTCCTCACATTCGGCCTAGCGCTCAGCATCAGCTGTGCAGTTGCTACCTACTTGTATATAATAGCTCCACGAGCGGTCATTGTCATAGCCTGTAAAGGTAGGAAGGCAACTTGTGATAACAGCAAGTGAACAGAAAGAGCCAGAGCTTTGACATACGCAACTATCGCAATGTTTTCCACATGTAACTGCTTTCTTGATCGGCCTTCCTGTCCATGAGATCAGGGTTGCAGGGACAGGCATAGCTGTAGAGTGCAGCACCACCCATCGTCATATTTACAAGGCAAAAAGTAGCTATCGCAAGTATACATAAGTATACTGCTTGCAGCAATGGTGATGGCCGCGACAACGCGACCGGTCTTCAGAAGCGACTTGCAAAATGCATCCTGCTATTCACAGCTCTTAGAGCTATTGCGCCGGCAAGTCCCACAACACCCACAGAATCACAGACCCGCAGAACCACGACCTCGCTGCCCAATTGCCTTAAGACCCTGGACCTTGGACCCTCGACCCTGATCCCTACACACTGCGTTCGCGAGGAGTGCAGCCCGCGCAACTTGGCCATTCAAGCCGGGGAGGCGATCCCAAGGCGGAGGAAAAGCGCGAAGCAGGGCTCCGCTTGAGACTGCAAGTGAGGAGGGTGATGACCATGGTTGTTTTGTTGTTGCTTTCAGGGTTTTGGGATGTTGAGGGTTTAGGACTCTGTGTCATGTGGTCAGGGCTTATAGGGCGTCGAGTTTGAATAACTACCGGCGCATCGAAAGTTTTGGGCATGTAAAGTTTCTAGGGCTTTGGGGTAGCCACGACTGTTGAATATGTTATATGGCTCTTTCCTGTGCTTCGTTGTCCCGTGCTTCATTACTCGTCTCGTGCGCTGCTCCGAGATAACGCGAGCTTGACAGTTCTGCTTCCCAGTTGGATTTTTTCAAAGCGCATCTGCTGCAGCACAGGAGGTTCGGTGCTTGCGCTGCTCCGGCGGGTCACTACAGTCAAACCATCCTCAAGCCTCGTATAACCGTGTGTACGCCGGCTCTGCAAGCCAAGCTGTCAGAATGGGTTTTCCAAATGCACGATGCCCGAACATCAGGAACCTCGTTCCGCTGTCAGGTGAAGTTAAGTGCTTCGCCTCGGCCTTCTTAGCCTTGTAGTCATTGATCAGTTTTGCTCTTATGGACCGCAAAATCCCCAAAACCCCAAACTAAACTTTGGGTTTAGGGTTTAGGGAGCATAACTTATGGAAACCCAACATCCCCCCAAACGGGGCGCTTGGCCTTGGAGCCCAGGGGATCCTGAGAATTCCTAGACCCTGCAGGTTCTTAGGAACGGGTGCTCCTGCGAAAAGCTATACGGTTTAGGGTCTAGGGTTTATAGGGTTTAGGGATACATGTGGCGAGGTGTAATGTAGGAACTTGATTCAGAAACCAAAATAGTAGGGTTCATAGAAGGAGCCCAAATAAAGGCCCAAGGTTTCCTAATCAGGTTCCTACATTACCGGAGCACTCGGCTGCCAAGGTTCAGCAACAGCAGCACGAGATGCAGCAGCTGCAGTCGAACTTGAGGCCCAGCAGCGGAACAAGTGCAGGGAGTGTTCCGCAAACGCCCTTCTTTTCCTTTTCCCAGCAACTTGTAGCTTTGTACATACTCCCAGCAACGATTGCTTCATCTCGATTTTCTTGGACACATGTGCAGTTTGAGTAACAGAAACAAACGGTCCCAAGAAGGCACGGACCTGTAGAGAGGACACCTTGGCATGTCGGTACCTTCATGCGATTGACGGCATTGACCTTTCTCAGTCACCTACATCAAGCAAGCCTGAGAACTCAGAATTCTTGATGAGCGATAGCCTATAGCATAAACTACCCCGAAAGCTTACTCAGTCACCCCTATACTGAACTTTCGTAGTGAGCATTGTAGTTCCCGTCACACAACCCTTGAAAGGAATCCTTTTCTACTTTGAAGTTCCTCATCATGAAACCCTACAAACCCCATAAAACAGTCGTGAACCATGCAAAACCCACTAAGATAACACTCCTACTGCAAAAACCCTTGTACAAGAAGCATCCTCTTACGTACCACCTAAACGCCCTAAACCCAAGACATGATCAAAGAAGCATCCTCTTCAAGTTCTGAAGGTCAGATTCTCGATTATGGTATCTTAAGCCAAAATTCTTAAACAAGAGCCCAGTTAGCCCTAAACATTAAACCTGAAGCCCTAAACCGTCAAACTCTGCCAGGCGCCCCAACTTGGAGCGAGCGCCCATGCAGCCAGCCCATGGCCGATGGCTCAGATCTGGGGAGAGGGACTGCTGCTACGACTAACGTAGGGGCCTAAATACTTCCTTGGGCCTAGGGGTTCCTTTGAAGGCGTTTATAAGGATTACTATAAGGGATCTATAAGGTATAAAAATGTAGCAACCTGATTTAGAAGTCTTGGGCCTCTATCTGGATTCCTTATATGAATCCTTAGTATTTTGGGGGTTGTAGGCCCATGGTTTCTTAGTCAGGGTTCCTACGTTACTTCTAACCTCCTGCGACCACTACTGCTACTACTCCTCCTACTGACTCTGCTACTGATACTGGGCGGTGGTGCTTTTGCTTCTGTGCTTCCTTTGGCTGTTTCACGGGTTTGGCGAGGACGGATTCGGGTCGAAAGCCCTTTGGTTGTGTTGCCGGCCACCTTAAGAGCTTAGCTGCTCTTTGCGCCTGCCTTCGGCACATCTGCAAAAGCCAACGTGTCTCCAGCCGGCATGTAACCTACACGAACTGATTGTGCCTCGCGATTTCGACGCCATCTGTGGTTCCTGAACCCTATAAGCCCTAAACCCCATAACGTAAACCCAACTCGTCCAGTGCAGTTTGATCGAAGCTTTGCCCATGGAGTGGAGGCCCTCGCGCTGTGCTTTCACGATCGCAGTCACCACAGCAAGGCGTGGACCTCACTGGGCTGCTCGTGATGGCACATGTACTACAGGGGCCTTGAAAAGTTACGAAACCAAGACTATATTGGGGGGGGTCCCTTATCAGAATGTTTTTCCCGAAACCAAACTCTAATTATTAAGGCCGTTGTATTCTGTCGGAGTTCATGACCAGTCATCAGCAGCTCTCCGACCATCACATACAGTAGCTGTGCTGTCGATCGAGTCGTGGTGCTGGCGTAGAAAGCAGGCCAGCGAATGTCAGAGACTGCGAGAGTCCTGAGCCCAAAGAAGTTCCAGAAATCCTCCACAACCTAAACCTTAAACCCGACCCTGGACTATGTGGAGCCTTGCCTGCCCTGTGCGAGAGTGAGCGTCGAAACCCGACCCTGAATAGAAAAAAGCTAGCCTAGGCCGTGAAGCCCTAAGTCGTGCAGGAATCGTGCATGAGATTCGAACGGCCTCACCAATGGCCGTGCGGGCACTAGGCCGGCCCAGCCTATCACATGCGCTTCTCTCAGAGCCAGGGTGTAGGGTTTAGGGTTTTAGGGTTTAGGGTTTTTAGGGAGCTTGCCTCAAAAGTCGTACAAGACGCTACCACATTTTAGGGTTCAGCTTCCTGGAGCTCAAGGTTCCTGCACTTTTCCTGTTGAGACCCTACCACACGGGCTCTGCGATGAGACACCAAGACACTACAGTCGGAAAGCAAACCTCGTCAACCCCAAACCCTACCCGCAGCCCAAAGACTCTAAAGCTGATCACCAAAGGCTCACAGGATGCAAAAAACTTCAGAAAAGCAGGACCGAGTGTGCAAGTGCCAACCCGCAGCCCTTAGTCTTTCATCTTGGTGCTCGCATGCTTTCGAAGAGTACTGACAATAGTTATAGCTATAACAATATTTACAATACTAACAACGATTATTGCTAGAATGACTGATTACAATACAGTACTAGCAACAAACTCGACCAAGGATAATCATACAGTTTCATAGATCCCCAGGTTCAAACGCCTATGTTCACTAGATGATTAAACCAAGCCCCTAAGTCAAAACACCCTTAGCTTAAGCCAGTTTAATTAAGTTCCTAAACCCTAAGCCCCTAAACTCCAAACCCTGAAGTTGTTTGCTCCTTCCCTCGGCCAGGAGGGGGCGCATGGCCGAAGGCCTGTGGGTTTCAGAGCCCCGAGCCCTTACGCAACGGATCCGGTTTAGGGTTTAAGGTTAGGACCTCTGGGGTTTGGGGCTTTTAAGGTTTAGGCTTTTAGGCTTAGGGCCTTTAGGACCTCTGGGGGGGTTTAGGGTTCAAGGTTTAGGGTTTAGGGATCTGTGGGTTTCTGAAACTCAGGATTACCTTTGTACAAGGGGGCTTTAGACTGTGTGGCTCCTGCTTCTTATATGGCTTTATACATTAAGGTTCCCTTCTTTCTGACACTCCCGTAGTCATTGTGGAGCCATCGGCGCCTAAGTGTGTAGGATCGTGGCCTAGCACTGGCACAGGTTGAAGGCACCAGGCCTCAGATTGATATGAGGGGTTGAGAAAATTATTCCCTTTTTGAGGTCCTTAATATACTACTGCACCTAATCGTTGAGGTACCCCAAAAGGGACCCTAATTTTGCCAACTGACCATATGGCTGGCGATGTGCCTTTATTGCTTGGTGGCTGCGCCTTCCTCTCTTATGTGGGAAGACTCCTCGATTCTGGTTTGAAGTGGGGTAGACCCGCCTCTGAAGAGTCAAGCATTTCGCGACTGTTGTCAATGAAGAAAGTTCGTGACATGTTGAAGGTCATCTTGCTTGGAGATGCAGTGGGGACAAGACTCCGTTCATGAGCGTCTAGCCTCACTCTCTCCTCATGTTTCTCGTTCTCGCCTCATTACTCTCGCTCGTGCTCTTTCTTGCTTCTCTTCTCATTTCTTTGCTCTCTCTCTCTCTCTCTTTGTCTCTCTCGGTCTCTCTCTTTCCCTTGTGCCCCTTGCTCCTCGAAAAGTTGTGCCTCCCAGCCGTCAACCTCGGACTAAGGTATCAATCTCCCTCCAAATCTTGCATCGCTTGGTCTCTGTATCTGGCTATGCAGTCTATACTATATACAACTAATGAAACCGCGTTTTGGTTGCATCACATGCGGACCTGAATCGGTGTATGCATGCGGCTTGTTGATACTTACCTCACCTATCTTAGATTGGCCGGTGTATGATGAAGGCGTCCGATGCTTCTTTGATTAGGCAGATGTGTAGATCATGAGGTGCGTCGGCTGATCACTACGTGGTCCGTTATTCACAGCGGCAAACGCAAAGTTTTACGCCGTATTAGATGCACAGACATGTGAAAAACAGGGGCACCTACGAGATGGATCGAACCCTAGACCCGGAGCCCGCAAGCCTAAATCCTAGCTTGAGCTTACAGCATGACCAGCCGACATCACATTCGGAACAACCGGGATAAGTTTTCACAGGCTGCCGTGCCCGGGAGTCCAGTGGCCATAGCCCCAGCAATTGTGTGGATGGGTGTTTTTGCTTAGGGTTTAGGGGTTCAGGGTTTGCCCTAGGAAGTCTGTAGTCACCTGTGAGTATGCATACGGACAAGCAGAAGTACCTACGTCAACATACAGATGCATCTTCGCATAGCAACGCATGCTTAAAGGAGTAAATGTTGTTCAACCAAGCTCATGTGTCCCTGTACCACAATACGGCCGACGTGTATGCATGGTGCCGCGTCGCCGCGTCGCAGACCCCCCCCCCCCACCCCCCATGGTATGCCCCCCCCCCTCAAGCCAGGCCTGTCGTCACAGCCAACAGTCACACGTCATCCACATAGTTGTCGCTTCAGGCAAGGCTCGGCTCGCAGGGTGGGGGAGGATAACCCACAACGCAGGGAACCACAGGGCCCCTTCGACACACAGATGAGAATGATGGCGATGATGTTGTGCGCAATGATGTTGATGTGCTATTCCCAGTGTGGCCGTTGGTGCTGTTGGTGGTACCTCTGCTCTTATGTTGCTCTGGGCTTTCGGCGCCGCATGTTCATTGCTTTATTTAGTTGAATATCGTGCTTGGATCGTGATGTTCTTGATGTTCTTGCGAAAACTGTATGGACTGTTGTCATTCCAAGCCAAGCTTCGGTTAGGTTCGTGAAAAGTATGCTTGAGCACGGTTTTGAATGATTTTCCTTTCGGGATTCTTGAGCAAAGGACCGGAGGAGAGTGCCGATTGGCATCATGACCACCATCTCCGTCATAATCATCACCACCATATTCATCACTTGGGAGGTCAGGGCAGGTCAGAGTTCAGGGGAAGTTTATCACATCCGAAGGTCCAAATCCTTAGAAAGCCCAACCAGCAATAACCATGGAAGGGGGTGCAGCCCACCGCAACCACAGTGGGGAGGGGAAGGGGGGAACCCACACCACAGGGAACCACAGGGGGGGATACCATGGGGTGGGGGGGGGAGGGGGGGGCCTAGCAGCGCTGCACCATGCATGCATAAGTTTCCAACGCACAAATGCAAAATTGATGTGTATGCGTGCAATCGTGCAATGCAACTTGAGCATAAATCTATGTAATCTTTGTCTGATGCAGTGCTCCATGATGTTTATCACGAAGAAAGACTGTCGTCAGAGACATGAATGCAATCTGTGAACGTGTAGGTGACGGCGCATGCAGATAATGAACGTAGCTACGTACAAACGGCCGCAAGTACGCTGGCATATGTAAGGAGAGGTCTTGCCTCGAGCTTGAAAGCCTATAATGAAACTGAAAGAATGAAGGAACTTAGGCAGTCAACATCTTAATGTCTTAATGTCTTGGCTTGGTAGACTGCGTTCTTCGGGGCTCAGAGCGCCGCACTTTGTGGGTGATCATTTCTGTGCTTTTCTGCCTGTGCAGATGAGTGGCTCGCATCGGTTTTGTATCTTGTGGTTTGGTGCTTGCTTGGCTGCGTTCCTATCGCACTTAACAGGCTTGAGGGATCTCGAGGGCACGACGTTGGGGCATTAAAAAAATGGAAGAGCTTGCTTGAGTTGGTCCAGGCCTACATGCCCAGAGCTATGTCCCCGACACCAAGCCAGGCCGAGCTCAAACTGCTCTGCAGTGACATTCGAGGGTTTCGTTACTCATAGGGATCCTTAGGGGTGTAGGGGGGAGGGGTGTAGGGGACTATATTTCCTTAAATAGGCCTTATTAGTCCTTATTATGGGCCTTAAGGCCCCCTACCCCCCCTCCCCCTACACCCCTAAGGATCCCTATGAGTTACTCACACTCACACTGCATTTGTTTCCTCGAGCTTGCTTCATACCTCGATGGCCACATGCAAGCTCTGCATCGTGCGGGAGGCTTCTGGCCAGCCCAGAACAGAGTCCCCACTGCCGCAGCGTGCCCGGTGCTTGGTGCAATGCTTGACGAGCATAGGGACAAAGAGCAAAATCACAGATAGTTTCCTGGCACAGGTGATATATGTCGACATTTCTGCCAATCACCGTCTTAAATGTTCCGACATGCAGCAAACGATGCTGACAAAGATCCCGGAAAATATCCTGACTGAGGATGTGCCCGAACTAGCTGTCTTCACGATCACATGTGACAGCAGTATTCTGGATGTAGGGTGCTGGAGAATTCAGGACCCCCCCCCCCCAATTCAAGTGGAAGATGCAGGCTGTCATGCCACCCACAACTAGGGAACTCGTCCCAAAGTTTACCCAGAGTCTCACATAACGAATCCGAGAGCTCGTCTCCGTAGTTGAGCACGTCTCAATAGTTTAGGCTGTTGTAACACGAACTATTAACCATTTTCGACCATGCCGTGAGAAGGCTACGTGAGAAGGCTCCATGCTTTGTCGCAGCCTTTCGCCAAGGCAGGCTACCCGGTGATTGCCACATCAGCCCCTTCACCCCCTCCAGCACGCTATGCTGCCGGGGGCTTTGTGTGGGTGCGGGGTTTAGCCCAAGAACTTGAGAGCAGATTCTTGAGATCTACGGCCTACGGACACTTTGGCTTTTGCAGCTGCTGTACGAGTGAGGCTGTGGCAAGCATGGGTAGCTTGTGACCTTGCAGATGCTTGGATCCGGCAGTTGCATACTAGTTTGCTCTGAGTTCAGGTCCCGGGGTCGAGGCTCAAGGGGGTGGATTTTCCCATTTTCTTTCGGGTCGATGGCAGTCATGTTCTTTGAGACTCTGCACGCCCTGTATTGTGCACGGATGGTGCAGGATCATTAAATCAAATTTCTTTGCTGCGCTACTGAGCTACGCCAGCATCTTCACATAGCATTCGCGGCGATGCAAGCCATCCTAACCTATGGAAGCTCTTGTTTGTTGCCTTCTCTGTACACTATGGGGTCCTTGCAAGGATGGTGATCTCATGTAGTTCCCGCACTATATAGACTCCTTAGACGTTCGTGGTAACAAAACAGTGCGCACTACAGTACTATGACTCTATATGGCATTCATGACCCATTTAGTACACTTTGACTGTCGCTGTCGATCTTAATTTTCAGATTTGCATTTGTGCAACTACAGTGAGAAGTCGCTGTTCCGTGACTGACCAGTCGTCTGTCTGGCGAAAACCGAAAACAAGAACTATTAGCCCGCAACTCTGCAACGAAGGCCTCCGTCGTCCAGATGCGACCTGCAGTGTGCGCAGGCTAGGTCAGGAGTTTATTCAGCTCATCCCGAGTCTGGTCGACCTCACATGAGAGGCTAGGCAAGACGTCAGCATAATTATAAGCCGCGCAATTCGCCGGCCAGACATGTACACAAAGTAGGCACGCAGTAACTACAAAACATGTGTGTGTGTGTGTGTCTACATGTATATGTGTGTATGTATATATATATATATATATATATATACTCACACACATACAAGCACATACACATATACACATATACTAGAGATCTGGACAACATCATAGCTACCCATGTCCTTCACGTGGTTAGGGACTGTCATGGCTGTCAATGACGCAGAGGTAGTTTCCAGATCCGTTTTTTCGGTCCGTCTGCTGCCAGACTTTCGCATGCCGCAAGCCGGAAAAAACTCTCTCTTTATCACATGCTTAGCACACAGAAAGCGAGTCTAAAATCGCAGACCTCTTGGCCTATGTAGGGGATCAGTGTTCATTTCAGTGTAATCGCCCTGGTTGAGTCGATAAACCGTCTTGTGGCAGGTGCCCCAGGGACACCCACTCTCGTGACCCGCGTGCTGTGGGCTCAGGTTGAGCTACACCTCTGATGACTCGAAAGGGTTCGGTTGCGAGTTGCGAGAGAATTCCTGGTGTGAAAGGGTCCGGTTGAGGGCCAACTGAGGCTGATTAATGTCTCTGCATGCGCCATCGCAGCGTGTGTGGTTGGAAAATCCAGGAACGACCCAAATGGAAGAAGCCCTGCCCATGAAGCCTGTGAGCACCAAGTCATGTCATGTGGCGCTGCGCCGCGGGCGGAACCACGTTGCCGCCGAGTAGAGCCAGAGCCACTCCTTCCCCGAGGTTTAGGGTTTAGGATTAGGGCTTCTTCCCCTGATCGGCAGAGTTTGGGTTCAACACCCTAAACCCTAAACCGAAAGGGCCTCAGCCAGACTTGGCATTCCAGACATCCTTTGGGCAGACGGAAAAGAGGGCTCAAAACAAAAACGAAAGGGACAGACCCGAAAGGGTTTTAGGGTTTCTTGGAGCCAAGCCTGCCATCCTCCGAACTGAGGCCTACTCCCAGGCAGCAGCAGCTGCGACGCGAGGCGGGATGCGGTTTCAGCTTGGCTTCTGGATCTTTGCGAGCCCAGACGGACTTACTAATGGGTGGTTGTCAAAAATTATGGTCCCTTTTTAAGTACCCTAAATATTAGGTGCCTTACTATACTAAGGACCCTAGAAGGGACCCTAATTCTGACAACCACCCTAATGTGGCTCTTTTCAGCTTGCAATGAAAGCATGCTTTGACATCAATCGGCTTTGCAGAAGCCAGGCCTTCTTCCAGGGCGGAATGGTTCCATACTGCCACTGCAAGAGCTGGGAGTTTCGATCGAGGGGTTTTGGGGTTTAGGGGTCATCAGTCCGGTTTCAAAAAGTGTTATTCGACTGGCTAGTCTTGAGTCCAGTATAGAAAAGGGGTTTAGTGATTGATAAAATTCTTAAAGCCCCGAACCCTAAACCCTAAACCTTATAAAGCACGAATACAGCTCTTTCGTCTGTCGCTTCGGAGTTACCCTGCAATGCAGCTTCGTCCTTGCTAGGTAGGAGGGAAAAACCTTAAAGCCCCGAACCCTGATCCCTAAACCCTAAACCCTAAAACCCTAAACCCTATAACAGCATCCCAAGGGCCTGGCCCAAGTCTTTCTTCAGGTGCCAGCAGCCATACGCATTGCGGCGCCCATCTTTGGAATGAAGGCACACCCAGGGGGCCTCAATAACTACCTATACTATTTTGGGGGTTCCTTATTATGAGGAAAGTATACCGGGCCCCAGACCAGCTCAATAAGCAAAGGACCCTGGTGAAATAGTTATGTAAATTGGAATCGCACCGTTGTTTTGAGGCCCTGTGCCCGATAGCTGCGCAGGATTTCGTAAGTTTCAAGATGGGGGTTGAACGTGCGGATTGTTTCTACTCTTGTCGAAGCTGACAGAGCGTCTGCGAAAGCTACAACAAGTGGATTCAGGCCGGAACCCCACCCAACCTAGATTCGAGTGTTCACATTCCTTCGACGCTCTTCAGGCAACTCTACGTTATTGTTCCTAGAGTGTCATCTTCCAACTTCCAACGGCACGGGCACAAACTCCTAAAGGGTCCGAGGCCGATACGAATCTCCTTCCCTTTCAATTAAGATCTTAAATACCTCGAGTCTAAAGCTATGTGTTCTGACGCGGCCTCGCGAAGTCTTACCCTAACGGTGTTCCATGCCGGCTAGAAACCGCACCAGCGACGATAGATCGCATCCCTAAGATTTGAGTGGGGGCTTGGTTAGATAGGCGTGTGGTCGGCATCATCTGCCAACCCTGAAGCACTAAACGCCTACAGTATTGTGGGGTCCTTGTAATAAGGAGCCTACTATTTAGGGTACTTTTTTGGGGTCCCCTATTTTCGGAAACTCCCGCATGGCCTTGCACGGCAGGAGGCCACAGTGGCTCCTGCGAGGTCGTCGGCCTGATTCGTGCTTGAGGGTTATAGGGGTTTATGAGGTTTATAGGGATAAACAAGGTTTAGGGTTTGGTAGGTTTGGGGTTTGGTTAGTAGGTTTAATAGGCTTAGGGTTTAGGGTCTAGTAGGTTTAGTAGGTTCAGGGTTTAGGGGCCTGGTTTGCTTCCAGGTGTAGTACAGGGGTTTGATTTCTGACCTGGCCAACAGTGCCGCAGATTCGCTTGATTCGCTTATCTGACCGGCAGATGTCCGCGAATATACAGGGGCTTGAATAATTTGAAGAATTGTTCTTGATGGAACGCTTATGTACCCTAGACCCTAGTATTTATTGAATGTTTGAGGCCATGTGACGACGTGCATGCCTTCAAGACTGTGCGTCTTTAATATGCGCATGAGCTGCTTTGACGGTCCGTGAATGAGTCCGAGCATAAAATATTCCAGAGTTCAGCTTTTTCTAACCATTCACTGTGCCGTGGTAAGTTGGTTCGATGGGCATGTGTTTTAGCCAATGTGGTGCATCCTATGCTGGAGTTGTACCGCATGCAATTTGGCATGCATGTGTACATGTACCCGATGAGTCCATAACATCAGTTCCACTTCCATCTCAAGGTCCGTGACGCCACGGAAGCCGGTGCGTAACCCAGGAAGTTCAGAGCGCAAGCTTTGGATGTGACTTGCTTGGAAGCAGGTCATGGGCTAACATACACATGTACATGTGTAGATAGAACGTAGTACGTAACGTTCAACGTGAAATACACGTTAGATGCACGAAGCAAGGGCAGGTGGGAGACAGATCAGGGGTGTGCTGGCGCTCGAGGTGCTGCTTAGTTCAGGCGTTGATGCAGTAGCCGACCAGAAGGCTCTCTCTCTCTCTCTCTCTCTCTCTCTCTCTCTCTCGCTCTCGCTCTCTCTCTGTTTGTATAGTATGGGTATGTATATAAGAGGTTGTTCTCGTATACAGTAGCAGTATATACTCGCTGTCACAATATGTAGTAGTTGTGAGATATTCTACTCGTATACAACGGTGTAGAACATAGTACTATACTATACGTGTATATATGTTTATATGTATATATGTATATGTGAATGTGTATTTGTAGGTGTAGGTGTACGTGTACGTGTATGTTTAAAATATATGTGTATGTGTATGCGTATGTGCATGTGCATGTGCATGTGCATGTGCATGTGCATGTGTATGTATATATGTATGTATGTATGTATGTATGTATGTATGTATGTATGTAATTATAGGGATCTAATGTATCTCTGGTCAGGCTTTTGAGTTGGGCGGTTGCTGCGAGCAGTGCACCTCGCAGTCCAGACGGGTTCTCGTCAATCTGCTTTCCACTTTAACTGGGTGCGCTTTCTTTGCAACAGCAGACACGAAGGCAAACGCTGCTCCTACCCAAACCTCGCATTCCTTGGGCTTCCTGTCTGCCAGTACGGAGCCTGAAAGCTGTCCAGCACGCATATGGAGGCTGCAGTGAACAGCGCTGAACCAGCGTCCGAGCCCCAGCACGAGAAAAAGGCACGATCGTGGCGGCACGTGGCTAGGGCACCTTAGAGGGCCCGGCTCGCTCTACAGTCAATTGTGTCAGAGAGCTCCACGCACGGCATGCGTTTGCTGAACCCTCAAGTTCTGAGCTTGAGGGCTTCTCGTCAATTCACCCCGGCTCCTGCTGGAACCATGGACTCTTTGCCGCAAGGAGATCAGACTTTGATTAGACCCCGAGCCAAGCCTCGGCGCATCGGAAAGTATGGTTGAGGAGCCCGAGATTCAGTACTTCAAGGCCCTGTTGAAAGCCGGCCGCATCTTCTGCAGCACAGTATCAGCATAGCGGTCTGTAAGAAGAAAGGAACACCACTTTAAGGACTTTCCACCGCCGCGGCAAAAGTTGCTGCACAGATTGCTCTCCCTGATATTGATATGGCCCGGTCGTCCCGAGCTCCGGTCCCCTGCCAGCTGGCCCAATAGCTGTGACTCAGCGACTAGATGCAGAATACGAAGATGCAAACAGTTCCAGTGCATGTTTGAGATGTGGTGCTCAGGAGCGAGTCATCGTCAGATCAGGCACACGTTGTGGCCCGAGTTGCAAAGACACGCGATCTCGCCTTTTCCCACTGACTGGCTCAGGACTCTTCATTTGGATCTACATGTAGCTTCACTTTCACATCTCCTGATCTCCTCTTTGGAACTCTGTTAGGCTCTCTTGAAACTGGACGGTCCGTTGCTCCATCGTAGGAGTTTCGCAGCCATCCGAGCAGAGATGCGGAAGATCCCGGCATTTGCAGAACCTCCAGTTGCCAGTTGTCAATCGTGACCCAAATCTCCAAAAACATCCAAACCATATGTTCCGCCTGTCTTCCCTGTCTGAGGCAGCTGACGGCGGTGGTTTGCTTACTGCAGGTCGCGGGGCCAGAATGGACTTGTTACAGTAGCATCTCTCGAATTATTCACCCGGCCCCGCGCCCCATCGGCGCACGGCAAAGGAGGTCGCAAATGTCCGCCTTATGGCTATGTACACTAATCAAGTCGGCAAGGTGCCCCAACAGCAGCCGAGGCTTGATTCACGTGCCTGTTCTAGGCTTTCTGTGGCTATTCACCACTGACCCCAACATAAACTAGTGGGGTTGACTTTGTATACTGTTGCAAGTGGTCTTGAGAACAAGAGCTCGAGATTCTGCGGGCGTGTTTCCGGGGTACTCAAGAGTTAGTTGTTGCGGTGCCTTGCCCTGCTGGTCAGTCGTTGACCTGTTAAATGTTACTACAAGCGTCGGACGTTCGACCGACCATGAAGCTGAGAAGGAAATCGAAAAAGGAGAGAGGCCTCGGGTGCCCAGCCGTGCTGGTCTGTGTAACTGGCCTCCGGACACCCAATATGTAAACGGTGTGACATGACTGCCAAAGCTTCAGTGTATTCTTTCAACCGACCCCCCAACCGACCCCAGGAACTGCTACAACGGCTGCTTCACAGTATTTTCATGCAGCTTTCGGGCCGATAAGCCGATAACAATGATGACAGTTGTGGATGGCGCACTGGGCGAGCATGCGGGATGAAAGGCCACTAGACATGAAAGCAGGGACAGTTATGATTCAACAGCAATCCACGGACGATTGATACTGATTCCTCTCCTCCGCGTCCTCCTGCTGCCGCCACCACCGCCGCCACCTCAATGGGACACCACCAACACCATGGGCCGCCACTAAGGGGATACTGGAGTGGTGGTGGCACGGATGATGCTGCTGTGGGCTGTGGGCGACAACGTTTGTTTTGATGTCCTCGTCGGTTGGTTGTGGGGCGTGTTGTTGTAGTACTGTTTGTTAGGCAAATGGTGGTTTTGCTATCGGCGGTGTTTATCATCATGTTTTGTGTTGTTGGTTGTTGAATTCAACACTTCTGCTGTCGTCGACTTCTGGGAAAGTGTGATCACCGTCACCGGCATCCCTGTCGTTGTCCTGGTTTGGCTGATGACAGTCATTACAGTGACATTGCCGCGTTTGCTCCTCGACCATATTTGTTCGCATTGCTTCTGTATAAGTGCTATCTTTTTTCTTCTACCACTCCAGGTCTCGAGGTGTTGCCGATGCTGTCGCGAAATTGTGGTGCCGGCTCGAGCTCTTCCGAAAACACACATGGTGCCAGCCCAGCAATGGGGCTAACATCCCGTCAGCCACAGATACCGGCATAAAAGAGCACAGTTCAGGATGTGTGGAGGCTTGGAGCTATCAAATGCTACAGTACATTCTGCTACTACCATATAGATCACTACATTATCCTATAATGTACCATACCGAAGATATCCGAAGATCATAGGCTCAATTAAGAAGCTTTCTGCAAAGACGATGGCTGCCAACTTACAGCTCGGCCGGAGGAGGGATCATGGGTGAACTGGGATGGGATAGGGTTTTTAGCATTTAGGGTTTTCGGGCCTTGGATATAGGGTTTAGCATATAGCATTTAGGGCTTAGGGGGTAGTTCATCACTCACCCTATCTCTTCAGTATCTGAAACAATCCTGAAACAGTAACTATATACAGATTGTCTTGCACACCCCGATCGTTCCCTCATATAGGCCTCCTTACCGTTGGAGTCTCGAGTTGAGCTTCAGAGCGTAGGCGGACTCACAGAGAGACACTGACAGCCCAGCGGCAAAAGGGATTGCCACGGTCATGTAGGGGCCTCAATAATGGAAGAAGTTCTCCCCTTGCAATCATTCATGTATAGCTCTATTGCATTGCCCGCCTCAACCCTATTAACCATATCAGCCCAATACACATATACACAGTCTACACACTATACTATACTATACCCCAATCCATATAAAGGCCTCCATGACCAGCTGTAATAGTGGGTGTCACGGAAGTTCTCAGGATTGTAGCTTATCTTCCGACTGTCACTTTTTCATTAAATCTGAGAGTCGACTGGAAAGCCGACGCTTCAATGCTGGGTAGTCGTGCAACGTTGAGTTTAGTATATTACCAGTACCATTGTTGCTCCCTCCTTAAGCCCTACAGGCACCAACTCCTTCCGAACCCAAACCGTAAGGAGGCTTTAAAAAATGAAGCTACGCCCTTCCAGGCGGGAGTCAACAAGTTGTGGATTTTCTAGTCACGCCAGCAGGCGTTGGCCTGCCGCTGCCCTGATCCTGCTGGGCTGGGTTGTGCTGGCAGGCTTCGTGTGTGTGTGTGTGTCTGCGTGATTAGTCGGTCGAGTTTCGGGTTCAAGGTATGCAGTTATTTTCGTGTGTGTGTGTGTGTTGTCGGTCGGAACCATCCACAGCTTCTTCCAAGAAACAACCTCTAAGTGTCGGCTGTTTTTCGATATGAAGTCACCGAGTCTTTTGTTGCGCTTTGTGCCCGTGCCATGAACCTTCTGATAGTCAGTGAGCCTCTCTCCAATCACCCGTCCTTGCGCAGGTCGAAAGGCTTTCGTGTCGGGCACCGTGCAGAAGCCTCAGAAGACATGCACGGGTATTGTTTGAACACTATCCTATCTGTGTGTATATTTATATTTATGTTCATATACTAGTGCATATCATGCGTTACATACCAGGTTTCAGATGGTAGATGGTATATTATAAGATGCTCTTAACTTCCGAGCTGTAAGTTCGCATGTTGAGGGGCAGATGCTTCTTGAAAGAGGGCACAGCTGCAGTATTCACTGACAGGTGGCTTGGTGGTTGCGAGATATTCTCAGTCGGGACTCTGATTTTGTGTGCTAGACCCAGCACTTTCGACATCGAATCGTGATTCCCTCATCCCTAATACCTAACCCTGAAGGACCTACCTTTTTAAGGACTTATATAAGGAAATCATAGTAAGGAATCCTAAAAAGGTAGGTTATTCCGGCTTAAGGTAACTTTGATGGGCAACTCACGACCCAAAGTCCCAGCAAAATCACCCAAGGCGCCGCCTCCCTCAGCATTCCCTGGCGCTACGGGCGCGCGATGTGAAGGAGATTGCCCAGGAGGTCCAAATGCGATATCTTAATGTAGCTCCATCCTTCCTTGGGTTGGTGACTTGTTGCCCTGAAGCGACATAGCTGCAAGAACTATAGACCGGGTTTCAGAGGTGCAGGCGTGCTGGCGCTTTATTCCGTCAGGCCTCAAGCACTCAAGCACTAGAAAGTGCAAAAGAGCCAGCTGTCCGAGTCCAGCGGCCACTGAGCCTCGAGTTTTCCAGCTGCCTCAGTTAATGGCTGTTTGTCGCGGTAGGCTTTGGTGTTGCAGGGTTTAGGCCCGGCATGCAAAAGTCTGTGCAAAAAAAGTCCGAACAGAACTGTCTCCACCAGCCTCCGTCCCTACCCCTGTACCCTAAACCCTCAACCTTAAACCCTAAACCCTAAACCCAAAAGCATCAGTCATATAGGTAGGGAAACTCTTTCAACCTCGCGAGCGGGCATAGACTTCCAAGCAATGCGAGAGGGAAGCAATTCGAGAGGGAAAAAGAAACGCTGCAGTTGCATGCCATCATCGAAGAGCTGGCCTTGGACGATGTGCCCAGTCCTCCACCACGGAGCTGGGGCCTGACGAATCGCTTTCAGGGGTTGGAGTCCTACTAAGTTTAGGGTTCAATTAGGGGTTGAGGGTCCTACTAGTCATATTATAGAAACCTGAGCCAGCCGTGTAGTTCGTGATGCGGTTCTCTTATCGTCCCTGTAACTGTACGATAATATACCCCGGTGACAATGAAGAACACTTGTCTTAGGGATACCATGAAGACCCTATTCTATTTTTTGTCAGGCCCGTACATTGCAATATCACATGTACCGCCAGCACCATCACTGACAAAACCAAAGCCACCACCAACAACAACTTTGTCGCTTCTACTATATATATATATACATATACATATATACCTGCATACGCTAAGCTGTGCAGCTTTACAAGTAGCTGGCAGAGGAAGAGCAGAAGAAGCATGCGGGGCACAATTAATGAATCTACAAGCTCTAGAACACGTTCGACAGCTGATGATGCGTGGAACTGTGGAACCATGCAGTGCACACATGGGCATGCATGCCTTGTGTTTGTTTGCTAATTATGGTGGTGATGATGTGTACGACTATGTGGCACAACTGTTGCTTCCCTGACAGCATCAAGATTATCACAACAGGAGCCAGTCACAGTGGCCATCACGACAACGACAGTCTGCAAGACTTGTAATAATGTGCACAACTATAACAACCACAGCTTCGAGATCAACATTCTGCCGTGGTATTGCATGCTGATGCAGAGCCGGTGGCAGCGTTTGCAGTGGTGGGTGTGGGCGGAGGAGTCGTCACTAAAAGCAGTGCAGTACCAGTGGAAGGAAGTCAAGCCAGGCTTTCCTGCAATTTGTGGGTCGCACACAAAGCTTGAGCCGAGGCCCTCTTGCAGCTCCAGCCGGGCACTTTTGCTTCATGTGTGTTTGTGGCAGATTGTTGCCTAAGCAGGGCTAGGGTTCCTTTCCGATCCCTAAACCCTAAACCGTGGAGCCTTGCCTGCTGTGTGCGAGTGTGAGCGTCGAAACCCTAAACCGTAAACATCCCTAAACAGTCCGCTCTTCCACTCGAAGAGGTGTGCCGGACCCATTTCGATCGGTCGAAATACCGGGTGGCAGGCCGCATTGCAGTTTTACAAAGCAAATCCAGACATCAACGGCATACTGCGAAAATCTCGAATGCAATGGAAGCCGCCAGGAACGCACGCACATGCGCCCAAGGAGGTGATAGCAGAGTTTGTGCTAGAAGGGGCCTTGACGGCTTTGAGAGTCTTGAGAGATGAATAATGAGTTCTCATTGTCCCTGTAGAAGCATTTTATTATAATATGCCCCCAAACCCCATTCCAAGTCTTAAGATCCCCCTTTTTTTCAACCCATAAAGTCCTCTGTAGCCCCGCAGAAAAC